GAATTTCAGACCCTTTTACCACATTCTCTCCCATTCGCTCATTTAAATATTCTAACTAAAATTGTTGGCACATTTACCATACATTCTTTAACTTATTTTTCCACTTTCAAATCTCGACAAAAGATTTTACATTTTAACACATGTTCATCATTTGTACATAATTCATTTTTAAATTCCATTTTATCCTATTTTATTCCTGATTCTTTTTTTCCCTATATTAAATCTGTGCATATGAGAACCTAAATCCCTCTGCAGTTGTTTCTGCTCATTGCTTCTTTTCTGTAAAACACTTCTTGAGATGAGGCCAACAAAGGCATTTTCAGGCGTAGGCTATTCCATATTCATAGTATGGCATTCCTAATATAACGATCTTTAAAATCTACATTTACTTTAATTATATAACACCATAAATCCAAACCTCAAACCATGACCTTCTACATCTACAATAAGACCCTCTTATTTCCTAACAGTCATCTCTTCATTCAAACCAAACAGCAGGCAGCAAAATAAAATTTAAAATCAAATAGTACCAGTCCTCTTATTACCTTTGTTAAAGAAAGATGACCAGTGATTTTCACTGCTGAGGTACCTACTATTTAATTAATTCCTGGGAACTTGGAATAAACAAAGCCCCCCCTCACCCCCCAAAAAACCCCTTTCTTGGACCTATTTGTTTGAAACATTTGAAATCCAGATTCTTATTGTGCTTTTTGCTGCAAGCTATTTTTTTTAAGTCTTGATCTTTTTCTATTAAGTATGTTATGGGCTGTAAGAACATTAACCAGATTGTCCAGTTAAATGCTGCTCTGAAGTCCTCTTTAGCATTTAATTCAGCAGTCTCCAACCTGTCTGGATTTACGGACCAGCAGGGGGGCATAGCACGGGCTTACCACTCACAAAAATGGATCTGTGCAGATGCTTGCACATCCACTGCACATACAAGTGAAGCTGCATACATGCACTTGCTCGTCGCTTCCCTGGCCCAGTGGGCCACAGCCTGGGGGTTGGGGATCCCCGATTTAATTACTTGTACTTCAAAGTGATTTAAGAAGTGAGGTTTGATGCCCTTTAAAAGATTCTGCTGATGCTGCAACTCATCTCCCAGATATTCTTATTCAAAAGGGGCCCGCAGCATCTTTTCAGATCCTGCAGACTTTCTCCTGAGCACAAGTGCACAATCTCTGTGTCTTCTTTCTCTGGCAAAGCCCCACTAAATTGGGCACCTCACCCAATCCCGATTCCATTCTCAGTGTTGTCTCCACACTTCCGGAAGCGTACACTCTGCCATTTTCCTCACTGGAAGTCGGTATTTACACTTATATGAAGACTTCTGAAAATAATGTATTACTTTTACAGATATCTGGATTTCTTTATGTGCTTCTCTGGCTTATTGGCCTTCCTTTCCAAACAGTGGTTCTTGTTGTTCTTAATTTTTTACAACTTTCTGAATGTAAGTTAAAAAAATACTTTTATTTTTCACACGTTACATAATTAACTTTTTAAATTCATTTCCATAAAGTACAACTCTTGGCTTAATCAGATTTTAAAAACCACAAATGGTAATAATTTTAACCATACTCTTTAGTGAAAGTCCCTGTTATACTTTACGGGGGAAAGAAAGCTGGTCTTTGAAAAAGCAAGACCAAAGGAGTATTAATGCTCTTGAACTTTGATATCAGACTGGCACACACTTTCCAGGGGAAATGTGTATAAAAGCAGGGGTAGGCAATCTTGGCTCTTTTATGATTTGTTGACTTCAATTCCCAGAATTCCTGAGCCAGCCAAACTGGCTCAGGAATTCTGGGAGTTGAAGTCTACAAGTCATAAAAGAGCCAAGGTTGCCTACCCCTGGTATAGAGGATAGCCTTGAAGGAGAGAGGGAAAACCAAGGGCAATTAGATAAACGAGGCTTCAGCCCAGTGTTTTACAAAAATGGTTCATACAGTTCCCCCACCATTCACATGGAGAAGAAAGAGAGAAGAACGGAAGCACATTCAGGCTTGCAAGATTTTGTTAACAATAGCTGTTCTAATAAAGTAGCTTTATGTCTAAAGGTGTTTATTTCTTAGTCCGGTCTATTTAACAGTGTTGATACCCAGGTAAAAATAGCCTAGGAAATGAGTATCAGTGATCTCTGTTTTGGTAATTATTAAGTCAGATAATAATATATATTGGGCTATTATTGAAGACAATTTGGAAACCAGCAGTTTCAAATTAAAGATAAAGCTTTTTTGAGTCAAATTCAAACCCTGGTGATGATTCTACAGGTAATCTTTGATTAACGATGATTTGGTCAGCAACTATTTAAAATTATGATTGTAATTTGGAACTTAGCAATCAGCTTAGTATTTCAATCATTGTAGAATTGGTCTCATGGCCATGTGACTCAGTGGTGGGATTCAAATATGTGAACAGCCGGTTCTCTGTGTGGATGCCGCTTCCGGAAGTCCATTCTGGGCCTGGACAACAAAGAATTAGCTACCAGTTCTACCGAAGTGGTGCGAACCGGCTGAATCCCACCACTCATGTGACTGCTATTTGGCAGGTGATTCCAACTGGCGATCACATAACATTGTGCTTAATGAAACATGGGATTCTCCTAACAACTGCAACTGGAATTGCTGGAACTGCATCATAAATTGATAGTGATGGGATGTCATGCTTTACGGCTGGGTCACTTAGTTATGGAGTTCCTGGTCCCAATTAAACATTGTTAACCAAGGGCCACCTGTATGGTAAGAAGTCAATTTACATACTAGGAACCTCAGCAAACTGATCTTGTAGATCTTCAGCAGACTATTTACAATCTCCCTCCTTTCTAGAATATGATAGCTAGAGTATCTCTTCTCCACTATTTGTGGAATCCTTTCTCAAGGGAACTTTGCCAGGGTTTAAAGTTTCAATTTTAAATGCCTACAATACTGTGTTCATTTTCTTAGGATCTATTCTAACATTACATGGATACAATAGGATTTATTTCTCATTAAATGGTAATTAGTTTTAAATCTGCTAATGATTTTATATTTTTTCCTTTGTGTAACTTGTTGAGAATTGTTTTCATGTTTTAATTCCTCTTAGTTATTTGATTAATAATGCATGCAAATATTTAAAGGTTAGTAAAAAAAATCATGTAATAAATACATAAATGAATTTTCAAGAAGCATATAGTGTCATTGGTTTATACAGAATTTTGGTCCATTTGGAAAGGGTTATTAGGGTTATTAGGTTTTATATGTTAATTATGAAATAGTACATTCTATAGTAGCAATGCACATTTTTTGTACAATTTAAGCCACATACACACTAGTATTTCTCCTTATAAGGATTTCTGCAGTGCATAAGCACCATAATGCATTAATACGGCTGTTGCAAATTTGTACATAACATTGGTATATGAAATCTATACAATTATAATTTTGTAATATAGCTATCTGTAGAAGAGTAGGCTTAGAATTAGAGGGCAGAATTAAGCACATCATCATCTTAGAGTTGTTACATTCCCACAAATGGTCCAAGTCCATCTTTTCTTGAAATCTGTTGACCCAAATCTGGCATCAACTTTGCACCATATACCAACAAATCTGAGAAAATCAGGGTTCTGTACTTAGGATAGAGTTCCCTATATCCTTTGGTTATTGTGCACCACAATGGAAACTTACACATTTCTTTCTTTTTAAGGATTCTATTCAGGGGATGCTTTTCTTGTTCTTTTATGCACATTTGTATAAACATCTCTCAAGACAGCACTAAGTCTTGTGTAATCTAGTTCCATATTAATTCTCATATCTGAAGAGTCATGATACATTTCCTTGTATAATCATTTTATGTTTCTCCTCTGATTTTCTCCCTGTTTATGCAAGGAGTAGAAAGTTATTTAAGCATTAAAAAAGAGTCATAGGAATGAAACTGAAACTGTACATAATTGCTGTAAATGATAAATGCTATGTTTAGAACAATATCAGCATTTCTATGAAACAATATAAATTGACTCCGTGCACTGGCAACTTATTCCATTCTAAGTTCTGGATTTAGAAGGACGATAGCTGTAGAAGAAAGGCACAAAATACTAGTTAAATACTAGTTATCAGATTCCTTATAAATCTATAAAAATGATTCTGCGAGATGTGGATAAGATGTAGAAAAGACTACATACTAATGAATAAATATACTGTCATCGGACAAATATAAGAACAAAAAAGTAATAGGGAAGAAAGTAAGATACTTTTTGCAAAAATAAAATGAAATAAATCAGATTCTGATATGAATTATATTTTCTATGATAAATAATTCAACTCAGAATTCAAGTAAATGGTTAACTGAACTTTTACTTATGAGGAAAGGAATCGAACCATGAACAGAATTTGTCAAGAGAAGGAATAATAGATGAGAGATGCCAGAAATTACTGAATAACCTGTATAATAGAAAATGGGGAAAAACCCAAATCTGGTAACTTGTCACAACTATTTTATGGTCAAGCAATAAGAGCTTTGTAGATGCAATTAAAAAAAATTATAACCTATATTATCTGTTGTACTTTGCTTTGTTAAGTGAGGTTTTGTTTTTCAAATAAGTGCAGAACAATTAAATTGTAGAAAAGATTAGGTTACCTCTGATCAAATAAACTTCAGTTTATCCCGTACCATTTTATAAAAACTACTTTATAAATATTTACACTCCTCTTCCAAAAGATTAGCCTTTTCAATTCTAAGTCACTTTCTGTATCAATTTTGTAAAAAAAAAAAACTGTATTGCAACATATTTCTGCTACATGTTATCCTTTTCGTAATGTAGAAATTCTATAATAGCTTTTCAGTGTATGATGCATGCCTTGGGCTTTCCTTTCAAATGAAGTTGCTAGACTATTTCTGCCACCTGTAATATTTGATTTTAATTAGAAATGTACACAATCAGCACAGATAAGGTGGACAATTAGATGGAAACTCTATATTTCTAATCGAAATTGCAAAATTCACTCTCTCATTTTCTGATTTTTCCGTAGGCAAATGTCACAGATGGCAATTAGTCCTGGTTTAGTAAAACTCCCATAAGCATCCATATTCGATGTGAACACATAGTTTTGCTATAGTTTGATCATTTCTGCTACCACATTAAGCTTTATGATCCTAGAATGAAGGAGGCAACTTATAACTCTATAAAAATGCACAGGGAGAGAATTACACTCTGGAACCAGTCTTGGAGGAAGGACAGCTACTGAAAAAAACATGCCTTCCACTCCTAAACCTCTGCCAATTCAGGAGGATGCAGTGACTAAGTGTATTGAAGGCCACTGAAAAATCAAGTAGGGTCAGGATGGACGCCTATTCTAAGGCCAACACAGGCCTATTCTAAGGCCAATTCTAAGCCAACACAAGTGTAATCAGTGCTGCCTCAATGCTACAAATGGAATGTGACTGAAAGAAATCCAGATTCCTCAAGGGTCCTTTGGAACTGCTAGTCTATCACTTTCTCAACAAGCTTTCCTAAAAAGAGAAGATTGGAGACTGGGAGAAAAGCATCCAGTACTTTTGAATCTAGTACTAATTTCTTGAAGAAAGGGTGAACCATCACTTCCTCCAGAGCAAGCATAAATATTCTGTTCTTCAAAGAAGCATTCACCATGACTTGAATATCAGCTCCTGTCTAAATCTAAAACAGAGTAGCAGAACATAAAGCCCCATGGATCCTGTCCACTTTCTTAATGCAATAAAATAAATTTGGTATTTTTGTTATTGATTAGCATTTATTAAAAGTTATATAAAAAGTGATTGAACTCAAATTGTCTTCACAATGCTACTAATATTAATTTGTTTATTATATATAGGATTATGTATAGGATATACCCAAAACAGGCACTGTAGGACAATCACAATATGTTTTCTTAAGGAAATATTTGGAGGAAAATAGCAACCATTAACATTTAAGGAAAATTGCTTAATATATTTTCTCCATGACCTGACTTTTGGTACACCTTTCAGATTTATTTCCAACTGTCTGTTTCAAACATACCTACATAGGAGTATATGTGAAGTTATGAAGTTATGAGTGCTGTTCATTAGATCTGTATGCCACCTTTCTTCAAGGTGGCTTTCATGGAAATATTCCATGAAATTTATACCACAACTCTATGAAGTAAGTTGGGATGGAAATGACTAGTCCAACATAATCCAATGACTTGAGGGAAAATTTGGAACTTCCCGATCCAAGTCTACTATCTTAATCATTAAACCACGGTAGACATGTATAAAAAAATGGAAAACACAAGTCCCATCCAAAGGAGTCCATCATGGTAGAAGAACTTGTTTTAGAAGATTTCAGCTTATTATGTCTAAAAATATCAGAATGAAGACTTAATAATAATAATAATAATAAAGTTGGAAGGAACCTTGGAGGTCATTTAGTCCAACCCCTTGCTTAGGCAGGAAACCCTACACCATTTTGGACAGATGGCTGTCCAATCTTTTCTTAAAAACTTCCAATGTTGGAGCATTTACTGCTTCTGGAGTCATGTTGTTCCATTGGTTAATTGTTCTAACTGTCAGGAAGTTTCTCCTTAGTTCTAGGTTGCTTCTCTCCTTGATTAGTTTCCATCCATTGCTTCTTGTCCTGCCCTCAGGGGCTTTGGAGAATAGCTTAACTCCCTCTTCTTTGTGGCAGCCCCTGAGATATTGGAACACTGCTATCATGTCCCCCCTCATCCTTCTCTTCACTAAACTAGACATACCCAATTCCAGCAACTGTTCCTTATATGTTTTAGCCTCCAGTCCCCTAATCATCTTTGTTGCTCTTCTCTGTACTCTTTCTAGAGTCTCAGCATCTTTTTTACATCATGGTGACCAAAACTGGATGCAGGATTCCAAGTGTGGCCTTACGAAGGCATTGTAAAGTGGTATTAATACTTCATGTGATCTGTTCTCAAAACATAGTGGTTCTCAGAACAAGAGAGAGTTTACATGTTAACTAGATAAGACATTTCAGTGGAAAAGTAAGAAGTCAGAACCCAACAAGCTATGCTGGATATTTTAAAAAATGGATGGAAACATTTGTACTTTAGAGCTATTTCACCAAACAAGAGAATGGCCATGATAGGCATCTGCCTCAATTTGTCCGGAGTTCAAACCTGGTCTGGCTAGCTAAATTTTGAATTGAATAAGTATACATGACTGCATATATCAGTGGTGGCGAACCTATGGCACGGGTGCCAGAGATGGCACTCAGAGCCCTCTCTGTGGGCACGTGCGCCATTGCCCCAGTCCTAGGCCTTTTTGTATAAAAAACATTTTCGCTTTAGGTCTCCGCTGCCATGTACAAAAAAAAAAGGTCCAATCAGTCAATTTCAACTTCTCACGGGAAAAAAAAGATCTTGCAAAGTTGGAATTGATTGATTGAACTTTTTAGTCCCATCCAGTCTGCCGTTACCACCACAGCCACACCCACCCAATGAGCCACATCCACCCAATAGGCCACACCCACCCGGCACCCGACGATGCATGTGGGTTTTGGGTTGCAATTTGGGCACTCAGTCTCTAAAAGGTTCGCCATCACTGGTATATATGTATGAATGAGTGAAGCTTTTAATTCAGAAAGTATGAACAGCAGCAATTGTTTCATTAGCATTTGTTTCCATGTAACTTGAGTCTCTGAATAAATAAGAATTAACAACTTTGGAAGTGTTATAAAGATTCTCTATGTGACAGTGGTATGATAATATAGTCTGTCTCGCTTCTCCAAAATGACAGACGGCGTGTTATTACACAAATTGCTGTCTAACACATACTTGAAAAGAGAAGATGGAAAGAAAAAAAAGGTATGCTTTTTTTTACAATCTAATTAACAAAATGGAACCTGCTAAGGTAAATGTGTCCAGTCAGTCTGTCCTATTTCCCCAGCTCTTACAGCAATCTTACTATTTTCTTTCTTTGGGAGTTGAGACATGTATACAAATGGCTATTTGCATCAAACCCATAACATACAGTAGCTGTCAGAAACAAGGTTTAATATGATAGATAAAATAAGGCATGCTTTGTTTTGGATTCTGGACATTCTCCCTATAAAAGCGTTAACTGCTACCTTGTTATAATATATCCCACAGCATGGTCCAAGAGGCCTTGCTGAGTTACATAATAGTGAATCCAAATTCTAAAAAAGACACCGAGAAGCATAGAGGGGAAAAGTGTTCCATTTAAATCATCTCTTTCATTTCTACCTATGTATGAACTTAGCTGCTAAGTTCTACCTATGTATGAACTTAGCAGCTTATATTTTTCTGCCACCCAAGATTGCTCACAGTAGTTATGAGGCAGGGAAACCACCTGCTATAACAAGGCACAAAAAGGTCTTGAAACACACACATTTTAATTATTTGACATTAGTTCTTAGACATGCTTAGGTTGTGGACAAAAGGGGCAATCTTGTGTATAGTGGGATTGTATTGGAGTGGATCCCTGCTCCCACACCCAAAGCAGCAAAATGTGACATATTTATTATATAGAAATCTTTTCCTTCCCTAGTTTCTGAGAAATTAGTCCCAATGTATTCAATAGATTTTTCAGAGGTGTGCTATGCCTGAAGTCTTAATCCTTTCCTTAAGGAAAACAGTAGTTCTGTGCAGCATTACTACTACAATTCGTTACTTTTTCGCATGTCATGCTAACATGAACAGCACTTCCAGAGAAATGTCTCAGGGGTGCACACTGACATCAGATAGAGCAGAGGAGCAACAGGTGAATGTGCTTTAAATAATAATTGCAATGTTTTCTGACTCATTTGAACAAGGGGATACTGCACCAAGAATGAGTTTTTCTTCCTTCACTCTGTGGCCAATTTTTCCCATAACCTTGGCCAAAGGTTAAGAAAGGAAGAAATTTAAAGACACACAGGAAAAGCCAGGGTGGCCACTCCCTGAAGTTATCTGTATACTACTAAATCTCTTGTGTCTGCTTGATGCTTTGCAACCTTCAACTGGGAGAAATGTTGCCTCACAGATCAAGGCTTTGTCAACAAAGGTACCTCTAGTGCAGCGGTTTTCAACGTTTGTGTGACGGCGACCCCCGTCACACAAACGTTATGCGCAAGCGTGGCGCCGCCCCCAGAGGCACGCTGCCGCCCCCATGCGCGGCGCGCATGCACGGCGGCGCCTCCGGAGGGGAGAAAATGGCGGATCGCCGCCTTTGGTGACCCCCGAAAAATGGTCGATCGACCCCAAATGGGGTCGCGACCCATAGGTTGAGAACCGCTGCTCTAGTGGGCTAACTTACAGAATGCCAGACCCCATTAGTCTTGAGGAAATGAAATATAAGGTTTTGCTACTTTAGTGCCACTCTGCTGCTATTGTTCAGTGCCACTGCTACACTGCCTCAGGAAGCAGTGACACGATCGATCCTCACTTTCAACAATCCATGGTAACTTCCCATAAGTCAATAGGGAACCAGGAAGGAACTGATGTAATTGCAGATGCTCCTACACTCCCTGCCACCTTCTTCCTGGCAAAGTCTCTAGGAAGCTTGCAGGAAGAAAGTCAATGGAAAAATGGTCCAGTCCCTCTGAGCTCACTCCTCACTGCCACTTGTTACTTCCCCCACTTCCTCCCCCACCCAGCAGCAGCCACTTACCTGCCTACTGGGAAGGGAAGGGGAGAAGGAGAGAGAGTGGAGAGGGAAGGAGGGAGAAAGGAAGAGGAAGAGGAGGGATGGAGGAAAGAAGGAACAGAGAGGAGGAAGGGAAAGGAAGGGAAGGAAGGTAGGTAGGTAGGTAGGTAAATTTCTGATGCTCACTGCCAGCTTCCCATAGTAGGAAAGCCAACAGGAAGTAAAAAATTCCCCACAGTAGGGAAGCCAACAGGAAGTAAAAAATGGTCCTGCTGATTTCCCCCCCCCCCATTCTATTTCCCTATTTAAGGGAAAGTTTTAAGTAAAGAAATAGCTCTGAAACAAAAGCACGGGTCATGGGTTGTCCACTGCATACTAAAACAGAAAAGACTATTATGTACGGCCACTAACTTCTTGTTCAAGGAGGCAGTCATTCTTTATTGAGAAGGACAGACAAGCCTATGCTTACTTTTGCAAAACCCACAATGAGTAGGTATGTTGAGGGTGAAGGTTCGTTCTCCGAGCTTGTAGGTTGGTTTCCGAACGTTTCGTTACCAGGCTAGGTAACATCTTCAGCGGGGAGTACATATGTCTTGAGAACTGATCAATAATGGCAGTATTGTAGTCGCTTCCTGCATCCAATCTTGGGAATGAGGCCCCAATGGGAAAACAAGATGTTGGTTGGCGGTTGGGCCAACAGATACAGTAACTTGCTTACTGGCAACCTTATGGTCTCCCTATGACAAGAACGTCCATATGGTAAGTAGACAAATCGTCTCTATTTGGTTCTTTGCACATGACTCATAGGGATGTACAAAAACACCTGACTCCTAATGGTTTTAACTCTAGGAGCAATCCTTGCTCTCAGCAACAATGCTGAAATGAAGAAAGTAACCAAAAGCAAATGTTGTGAGCCATATTCAGCTTTGGTGCAGAAACGTCCGGGCTAGAAATCTGTCCTCTGAATTTGTACTTCTTAACAGTCTACTGGGAAAAAAAAAAAAAGGAAGTGCCTGAGGGTAGCCAATTCTGCTTTAAGCTGAGCTAGAGAACTCAGTTTTATTTCCAACGTGCCCAGAGCCACTTTACTCCTCAAGTCTGACTCTAGTGAATAAAATAGTTTTGGTAATGGAAGGCTTGCCTCCCAAACAAGGCTGCGGAGCATAGTCCACAGTCAGGGAGCAAAGCTTCCTCACGCCCAAGCTCCGCTTCCAAAGCACAGGCCCAAGATGGACCAGTCAGACCCAGTTCTGGTCCCTAGCTGCATTTTCCCGCCAAGGACGAACAAGGCAACCTACCCTCCCCCTTTCATCTCCGAGAGAGAGAGAGAGACAGAGAGAGAGAGAGACTATGGAGTCGCTCGACGCTCACCGCGGCATTGCGCGCGAGTCCCCTTCCCTCCCGCCCTCGCCTGCCTCCCCCAGCGATCTTCCCAAGCTTTCGCGTTTATAATTCAGACAACCTCCACGCCGCGTCTTTCCTAGCTCTGCCTCTCTCCCATTCCCCAGCCCGCCAGCCCACCCACCCCCACCAGGGACGCCAGCGCGAAAGAAAGTCGCACCCCAGCGCCGCCTGACTGCGGTGGAGGAGCGAACTCGACAGACGACCGCTTGGGAGGGGGTGTGGTGTTCTTTTTCTGGCCGGCCGGCCGGCCTCCCGCTCGCACACTCGTCCGCTCCCGCGTCTATTCCCTCGCTTTGCGGGCGCGCGTGCGGGGCAGGCTCCCGAAGCGGGCGCGACGGCGGCGGCGGCGGCGGCGGCGTGGAATGTCCCTGCGCTCCGCCCTGCCTTCCGAAGTGGAGATGAGCCATAGCCAAGGCAAAGGACGCTTCTCTTAAAGACTCCGGAGCCAGGATGATGGTGCACCTGCGGCAGCCTTTCCCTCTGGTTGTGGTGGCGCAGAGTTTCTTCCTCCCGCTCGTAAGTCCACTTTGCCGGGGGCGACTCTCTCCTCGTCCTCCTCCCTTCCTTCCTCGTTTCGGCAGTATCTGCAGAGGCTGCGAGGCGGTCGCGTCCGGATTTTGCGGGGTGGGGAGGTGGGGAGGGAGGGAGCGTGCCGTCGTCGTCTCTTTTTACCTTTCCTTGCCGCTTGAAGCGAGTTCAGGCGTTCCGCGTTAAGTTTTGCTCCCCGTCTGGTTGAGTGTTGAGGCGAGGGCTTGGCCGGGAGAATGGGGTCGCGCCTGCCCGGCTCTTGGCGTCTGTCTGGCTCTTGCTGATCTCCCGCCCTTTCCCTGGCAGCGAGGGAGCGGGGCTCGCGCGGTGGGGAGTTCGGCGGACGATGGTGGTGGAGGTGCGAGCCCGGGGCGGAAAACTTTCTTCGACGGCCACGGGAGCCGGACTTGGGTCTCTGAATACTGCGGGCTTTTCAGTTCGAGAACCGGGCGGCGGGCTTCCTGAAGCTGCGGCGAGGCGAAATCATGGGCAGCCCTCGCCGCCTTCGTCCGAGGGAAGCGCTGGCTTTTGAAGCAGGCATCGGAGGTCCCTTCCACGTTTTTCACTGGGAAACCCCGGAGAAGCACCTGCATTGTCCGACCTCCGAATAAGTCTTGAGTTCGAGTCTAAAGGTTTAAAATGGAGCATTCACGACTGAATTACTGTCACTGGAACCAGGATTTAGAAACTTTGATAGGAGATTAGCAACTTTTTTTCTCCCCAATTGTCTCCATAAGTAATGGTTTCCTAGGCAGGAACTTGCGATTTTCTTTGCCCATTGTTCAGATTGATAAAAAAAAAGGTGTTTATTTCTTGAGGGAATGATCTGTAGTGAGAAAACCTCTTTTCTGCACAGGAGGGCTGTGTGATGATATGTAGTATAGAAAATCTGGGCGTTTGGTGATTATGAAGGGAAATTTTGAAAAGTGTTCATATATAAAACAGTTTATTATAGAAGCATCTTAAGGAGTAAAGATCAGTCGACTTTTTGAAGTTCAGCCTAGAAATAATTGATTACAGATATTGTTTACTTTAATACAAGATTTATTATAAATTTGATTTTAGTTAATTGTTCAGATATTAAAACATCCTTCTATAGTGGTTACTCATGCAAATGGGTGCAACGTGTATTTATAATGATGTGACTGAGTTTAATTGGATTTAGTGCTTTTAAGAAGCAGGTTTAGGTGGAAATAAATCCATTTTTTTTACAGCCCAGTCAGGCTAAAGAGTTGGGACGAAGTAAACAGGATTGTAGTCTAAAATAAAGGAAAAAAGCTTTATGACTAAGTATAGGATCCTGAATTAGAGAATAAATAAAAAAAAACTTTGGATGTTAAATATATGGCATAGTGTGTCAAAAGAAGAAAAAGCTTTGAAATATCCCCTTTTTCCTAAAGAAAAGCATTAAAAAGTTATATTGCAATTAAATCTTTTGCTTTAAAAAGAATCAGTGTCCCTTTTCAGGAAAATGTTGATTGCTTGTAAACAGCAGGATGCAAAGTTTTATTTTCATCCCAGCTATATGCAACCTGAAATGGTATGTGTATGAGAATTTGCGTTACTGTAGTCAATAATGGAATATGCAATAAACCTTGAAGGGATTAAATAGCCTTCTTAAGAGCTGATTCTAATATTACAGTAGGAGTTGATTGATTAGTTTTTTAAAAAGCTTATTTCAAATTCTAATCCTTTTCTAAGACTGTGCTGGTCTTGTAAGATTGTGGGTCTTTTTCTTTCTTTTGCTTTGGTGTTTTATCAGAGCAATGAAATGCAAAGCTGCAGCCTTGCGATAAGGCACATACTTTCTTTCACAGTGGTTTCCTTTAAAAAAAAAAAAAAACAATAAAACCTGGGCATATGCTTAGAATAGTTTCCAGCTAAACATCACATAGTGGTTAAGAATATGAATGGGAAATAGTGAAAGAAGCAGGAACATGCTTCACTGAAATTTCCCTGCAAAAAAATCCAGTAGATCCATTAGGGACTGATTAAAATTTCCAGTGGGCATTGGTTTTATTTCACATACGATTAAAGCAATAATATTTTACTGCTTTATATATTTTGCCTTGTATATGAATGGTACCTTGAAGGATCAAGACATTTAAAATAGAGAAAACTATCTTCAGATGGTAATATGTATAAACTATTGATTAGAACTAGTTCATTTTTATGTTGACGTAATTTGAATCTTACCGAGGAGCCCCCTTGAGCACTTTAATCAGTTCTCATTCAATTATATGTATGCATTAGGAATTAAGTTCAAATGAACTCTGTAGTAGATCTAGTCCCAAAGTAAATGAATGTAGGATTAGGTTGTTCTGTCCAAGTCTTCCATGCGTTAGCTGTAGTAATATTAGCTATCTTTGAATATAGTGAAAATATTGTATTGTCAGATAATAATAGTATTGCGTAGATTTTGACAACTATATTAAAAGAATGCACTGCTTTTTCAGACCTTTCAATGATTAAATGTCTTCCAAACATTGACAGTATTCAAACATATTGTGAAAGCTGGCAAATAGAAAAATAAAAAATAGCCTGCACATTACCTTAATGAAAGAAATGCTATTTAAATAGGAAACTGAAACTTATTTTATAAATATGATTAAGATTTCTATGAGTAATCTTCATTAAATACAGAATTAAAAATAGAATAGTTGAATGTAGTATTTTATGGTCTGTAGAACAAATCAAAATCCCATTTTAGTTTGTGCATTCTATTTAAGTTTGCAGTCCTGATTGCTGATTTAACATACCCTGATTTAAAAAAAAAAAAAAACTTAACAATGATTCAAGATACTTTTTTGCCTTGTAAACAAAGCAGTCTGTTTATTCTGGCAAGTAATTATTACATCTACACTATCCTTTGTTTAGCAAATGGCAGTGAAGTTTACACAGTCTATGTATTTTTATGAATGATTTTTACCACAATTAAATGGCAGTCTTGTGATGCCTTACTAAACATTAGCCCTGGTAGTAAATAGTTCTGAGGAAAACAGAGAAAACTTTTTTAAAAAATTACATCATATTATGTTGATGTGTCTAAAATACAGAGGGTATACTTAAAGTAGACAGTAAAACATATGCTACAAATTGCATGGAAAAATAAAATTGTAATCTTGCATTTTTCCTGTATGCTATGGATCACCACCAAAAAACTATTTTTTTCATATAAATTACCATTTGCTAATATAGTAGTCAATATATGTTTAAACAATAATACCATGTCCAGTCAATAGACACCTAGCTATCACCTAAATAGTGGCAGAAAGAGAAGCTTTGTCCAGAATTAATGTCTATCAATGTCTAATATTAATAGCCATTATGTTTTCTATTGTAACAAATTATTCAGTGTCATGTTAATAACTAATACACAGGAGCAAGAGAATTGAAGTCACTATCTACAGGAAAATGTCTTATAAAGGAAATTTTTATGACCCATTCCTCAAGGAAGAGCTGTTAAAATTGAATCACATGTTATCATTTTCTTAAGAAACATATTATTTTCCTAGTATCCCATTTTTCTACTTATTATATTTACAAATTTAAAAATATATAAGTGCTTATTTCAGGAAAATTAATATTACAAAATGAACTTTAAATAAGGTTTCTGTTTTTTAAAAATGGCAAGAACAACATATGGTATTTCTTGATTTTTCTGTTCAAAGTATATTTTGTTATAAAAAATGAATATCAACACAGTTACAATGAATGCAGTTCATTATACTGTAATGTAGGTCCACTAACACTTTTTAAATCATAAAGCTGTGAACAAGAAACTGATAAGTTCTTCATGCTGCTGATAAAGTCTATAAGATATAAATGTGATTTGGAAATAAGTATTACTTTTCTTTGTTTTAAGTCTTTTCTTGGGAAGGGAAGGAGGCTCTAAACATATTAACATAATAAATATGCTATTTACTGCTCTCATTTATATTGTATTGGATATTTTGTAATTAAAAACTATTTGTGTTTCAGTTTTGATTTAAAAGCAGAAAGGAATGGATGCCCAAGATTGGTTTAAAAAAATATCACTTTCTTGTAAATGTAGTCTAAGGGTGCTTTATTATTTAAGTATTTCTTATCTATACACAAATATATGCACACATTCATGCAAAAAACACCATTTTATAAATGGAAAATTAGATGTCTCACGTACAAAAGATTAGCCCAGTATTAAGAACATTTTAAAATAGAATATGAAGAATGTGTTACCTAAATATGGACAAAATATTTAATTGTGTTATTAAGCACTTCTGAGGTGTTAATATTCTAAAGATATTGTGAAGAATGAGAAGGAACTGGTATTTGAAATAAAATTTGACAATTAGTATATACGAGAATCCAAAAAGCAGTTTTCTGTTCCTAGTCATTTCTCTTAGTCTGTTGCTATTTCTTCTTGTTCTCTGACTACATACAGCTCTTCTATGTTGTAATAATCTGCAATTATCTTCCCCAGTTATCCCCAGATAGGAATGACACTATTAATGTTTCCATAGTGCTAATGGAATCTGGTATTTGTCTTGTATGAAAGAGCTAAAATATTTCAACAATGACAAACAGGATGCAAAAAAAAAAGAGGATTTCTAACATTCTTCCTTAGAAATCATAGAAAGAGGCTTTATCTCCCATTCTTTCAGTCGCAGGTTTAGTCAAATCCAATTGTGCCGATGCTAAGTGAACACTGCTGTCTAACATCTTCATTTGTAGGCCTGAATTCTCCTTACTGATTTAATGGCACTATGACAAATATGTAAATGTTTGTTAACCATACATCATTTACAATAAAAAGTCAACATTAGAAGAGAGAGAGAGAAAGTGTATCTTTTATTACTCTTGGTAGTATTAAAAAGAAATCCTGACTACTAAAAGGAAAAAAATAGTGCCATACAGAGAATCCTTGACAGAGATGATGGTAGGAGGGCAGCCTACAAACTAGAATAAAGTCAGAACTTGCATGAAAATATAATTTACAGTGTCATTAG